GACAATAGATAAACTTAGCAAAATTATTATATTCAAAATAAAAAACAAATACTGTGACACCCCAGAAAATAAAACAAAACAATAAAAATAAAAAACCCACACACAATAATTTATCTGTAAAAGATGAAAAAAAAAAGTTCAGATTCCACTTTTATCAGATTCCTCCTTGATTTCACTCAGTAGTGTTAAGTGAAGCATTGCCTTCAGTTCTAAGGGGGAAAATGGGGCTCAAAAATTTTACACTCAGCCTGAGTATTAATCAAGGATACAGAAAATAGACCGTTTGGTTATCAGCCAGTGTTCTAGTGAAGCTTCCTGAGGAATATATTGCAGAACAAAGTTCAGGAGTTGGAAGTAAGAGGAAAACTCTAGCCGATGTACTAGAAAAGGTTCTGGGACTCAGGTTAAAATAAATGCGTGGCTTCTGGTTATAGACCAAATATAAAAATATTCCTAAACTCCAACAATATAGAAATGATATATGGTGTAAGAAAATATAATATTTTGATTTTCTCATCTTTTTAGAAGAGGGAAAGGTGGTATCATTTAAAGATGATAAATAAAATAAGTTTCTAGATATTCAGAGTGGAATAATAGGAAAAATTATACAGTAAGTATAATAGGGTCCTGGGGGAAGAAGGCAAAGGGAGAAGCAGAAGTTAAATAATTGTGTTAATGCTCATAATGTGGAGTAAAATCTAAAGACATAGTAAATTCATACATTAAATGAAATTCTGTTATAAGGGTAATAATTAGAACAAAATAGAAACCTTTTACATTTTGGAAAAATGCACACTAATGGTACAGTAGAAAATAAAAAAGAAGAAATCACTTAAATAGATTTATTTGTAGTGATATAGGATGATGTTGAAGATATATTGTTAAATGGAAAGAAGTTGCAAAATAGCATGCAAAATTATATGTATATGTTTGTCCATTGATATACTTAATGTATATATTATTGTTTATTAATAGAATAGCACTTGTTTCTTTAAATTCTATTCCACTATATAATAGCTATCACAAGGGGTGGACTATGTAGCCATAGTTGTTATTATATTATGATCATATATCCCTAATATTAATATTTTACATTAATTTTACATTCTTAACATAAAGCTATCAAATAAAACTATAGGTGCTGTATATGTATATCTGCATGTGAGTAGCTTATAATCAGGCTAAGACTAGACTGGGAAAATTGGAGAGTAAGGATACAAATTAATGTTCAGTTATGTTACACAAGCCCTCTGTGAAACCTTCTGAGATTATTGCAATCTTTGGTGCCTGGCCTCCCCGCCCTTTGATTTTTAACAACAATATTTGACTATAACATATTTTAACATTTGCTGTATATTTATCATTTCCTAACAGTTCAATGTGATAGTCTTTTCTTTATAGAGGAGATGAGAATGATTGCCAAGTCCTTTCATAATCAGTTACTAGTATTTAACACAGTGGTCATAGGAAGCAAAACAATTGGTTAGAAATTCCAGATATATACAATAACACTTAAATAATTATTATAACACCTGCCACTAGGTAATGATTAAGAAGCCGAGGTATAGAGAGATGAACTACTCTGCCCCAAATCAAAAGGTAGTAAGAGACAACACTAGGATGGCTGGCTGCAGAATGAATGCACATAACAGTACACTGTGTGTGACCTGTTAAGCTATTTAACCTCACTGACTTCTCTTTCTGTGTTGGTGAAAGAAAGATAGAGAATAATGACCCCCTTTATAAAGTAACCATGACAGTTATTGAGAAAAGTACATCCATGAGGTCTGTAAGCCATGAAGCTCCATGGCAGACTGTCGTCTGGCTGTCTTCATGTTGCCATTGTTGCCACAGCATCATGTAAGCTCAGCTCATAGAGGAGCAAAGGTTTCCCTTAGACTCCTGTAGGGATAATCATTTACTGGCTTTTAAATCCCAACACACATGTGTTTGCTCTGACTGAACAATGTCCATGCCCTAAAAGAGCTTATGTCCACTGGGAGAGAGGACCAAACAGGGCATAGTGAGGGAAAGACCACCACGAGGTTGAGTTTTGTGCAAAGACCCAGGAGAGAAGAAATGGGGAAGGGAAAGATTGTGGTACTCAAAGAGTTAAGCAAACTTCTTCCAGCTTAGGAAAAAGACCTGCAATTTTAAATTCTAATAATCTTCCCAGGGGAGAAGCATCAACAAGTTTTGCATTGTATTTATGCTGCACAGCAACCTTTTCACAACATTTTTAGTCCTCACTTTCCTGCATATTTTCCCACAAAGACTGTCCTTGACCAACACCAGAAATGAATTTGATTTCTCTAATGCAGCAGGTAATTGGATTTTTCTTTATTGAATGCATCCCTTTAATGACTGTCTCTGCTCCTTGCCAGTATAGCAAGTGCCCTGACATTGATTTGATGATATGACTTAAAATAAATAGTTGGAAGCTGGGGGTGAAAAGGACCAGCTGTCTGGCATCAGAAAAAAATGTATTTTGTCCTCATCTTGCCATTTTACTGAGAAATCCTTTACCCTTGAATGGCATTTTTGCAAAACATGCTGCTGTAATAATTAGTCATATAGCAACAGATTGCCTCCTTCTAGAAAATATAGTAATTATTTCCCAGAAAGTGCCCTGGAGAAAACATTGCAAGTTGAATAAAATTTACCCAATAATCATGCAATTGCATGAAAATACCCATTACTATGCATACTCTTTCCAGAACAAGAAAGATAAATGTTGTTGAACAGAATTAATTAAATCTTTTAAAAAGCTGGCAAAACATGAAATATTTATTTAAGTATTTATTTGCTTAACTTGAGGTTTTATAAAAATAAAATTCGACACAAGATTGTTATTTATGAAGATGACAAAGGAGCAGTGAATAAAATTGTTGTATTTGAAAAAAAAATAGTGATTCTTTCCTCAGGAAAGTTGTGATATAAAACTCTTTCTATGCTTAGTAATATACGGGATATAAATTTTCTATTTTTACCTTTAGTCTTTTTTAGTAACAATGTAACTCACTTGACTCATGGTTAATTTTTATTCTATCATCTTCCCTTTGTTTATTTTGATAAATGTCACCATTTTTTTAATTGAAGATACAATTCATGGGTGAGAAAATAGTCTTATAATTCTAATGAGTCATGAAGAAAATGAGTTTTCTTTTAAAAATAAGTTAACAAGTGTTTTTTTTTTCCTTTTTGAATACTTAATATCAGTTGCATGTACACTTATCAAAGTAATTAATAGTTTTAAGAAATTGAGAGTTTAAATTAAAACCAGTTATGATTGTTGAACCTTTTCAACAATGAAATCATATCACACAAAATTACTGTGGGTCCTAAATCAGACAGAGCTGTCATAGATCTGCAGTGTTGTTCAATGAAGATCAATGAACTTGCTTTGATTTCTACCATCCAGGGGAAGTGGGGAAATTCTAGTCCTAAAAATGACATGAGAAAGAATATAGAGAAAAATTAAGATCACATGTGACCTAAAGTCTGGGATCTTTACCCACTGTTCTGAGTGCATCCTAAGTGAGCATGTGCGGCTTTGGCATGTCAGTGAAGATTTCCAAGAACATTTCCAGGATGTTGCGTTGCACAAGATGGGCTTGCTTGAGAATCAATGCACCTTCTGTGGGGAGGCCAGTAATATTGAAGAGGCCACTGATCCAGAGAAACTCCCCACTGGATCACCATCTCTCATCACAAGTTATTAAATCTCACCCATTCCAGGTTAGGTCATTGCTGGAAGTGACATTTACATGTAATGTTAAGTCTTTATTAAGAGCAAAAGAAAAAAATTTCAATGGATAATGAAACTTCTTTGTTACTCTCTTGAGTGTATTCCGTTCTTTATCAAAATTCTTAACATTGATCTATCTTGCTCTTTTGGATTTGAAGGTTATTAAATAAAACTATAATTAATTAAATAATGTTCTCTTCTCTCAAAAGGAAGGTATATTTTCTGGGAAAAGAACAAAAAGCATTTGTGTGTGTGTGTATGTGCACATAAGCTAACATGTCTCTTTATTAGAAGGAAGAAATTCATTTTTCATTCTCCCAGTTTTTTAAAGCTGCTTTTTATGACATCTACATATTATTCTTTGGACACTTGCTGAAACTATTAATAAGGGATTTGACAGTGAACAATTTACTTTGCTAATGCATTTTTTAAAAGCAAGCATTTATATGCTTGTACATTTTTGTCATTTCTTCTTTGAGTAATATTTTAGTCTTTTATATAAAAAATCATTAGGAAAGGATACAAAGGTAAATATTCAAGTTCAAGGATTTCAAAGCCTAGTGGAGAGAAAAATGTGCATAAGTAAGTAAAAGAGATGGTAGAAAGTGATATGCAACATGAAAAGGGTCAAGAACTGTAGTTGGAGGGAAAAATGAAGACATCACAATGGTAACATGACTGTATATAGGCCTCTGAAGACTGGCAAAACAAGTGCAGATGGAAAAGGTAGAACATTTTTGGAAGAAGGAATAGAATTGCTAATTGTATGAAGGTGGAGACTTGCTAGGTAATTAGAATAAATGTGTCTTAAAACTTTATCCAAGTACCATATTTCATAAATCATTGAAGAAAAAAAGGGAGAGAGGGAAAGATAATATTTTGACTGGAAATAGTTTTTGTTTAGCTAATTTAGAAAGAATATGGTACTTTATTATATGTTTTGTCTCCATAGATAGTTTATTAATATTTTAATAATGTCTTCTTTTATGAGGTAATCTTGACTGATGTTTAAAAAATAATCTCAGTATTTGACATGTTGAATGTCCTTAAATGTGCTCATTTTTATGTAAAGGATATGAACTATTAAAGTTTTTAACTAAAGAAAGCATATTCTTCTAATTTTTATCTTTGCATATGTTCCAATGTTAAAATGCATACATTTTTAATTTTCAATAAAATATAAATTATTTACAGATTTACCTCTGGATGTAAATTTCTGACAGTGTTAAGTAAGTTTCTTTGATTGCTTCAGGTCACTGATATGATGCTTCAGGACAAACCCTATCCTGATTGGGGGAAATCTGCAAGAGCTTTCTGGAAGAAAGGAAAGGTTAGGATCATTTTATTCTGGTAAGAGATTATTTAATTTATTGATTTATACCTTGTCTCATTTACTAAGTAACTTGGATTAGATATTTTCTTTAGATATATAGAATTCTATGTGGAGAGACGTTATAAATGTGTACTATGTTCCATTAAAATGATTAAAACCAATCATTATAATTATTCTATGAATTTCTGCTTACAAATTTTTACATATACACATTTACAAGATATATGTTTTGATAATATAGTGATGCATAGATTTTAGTAGAGGTAAGTGGGATTTTGACTGAGCAAAAACAAGATGTGATTTTTATCAATGAATTATGATATTAAAAAAGACTTAAGTAAATGCTAAATTTCCAGTATATTTGACATGATATAATTTACTTTGAAGAAGTTGTACAGAAAAGGAACCTCTTTACCAATCACATCTGGCTCATTGGCATTTCTTCTTGACAAAATTTCCTTTAGATCCCCAGCCCAATCATTGCAATTTAAAAAACAATTTATGTCTGATAGAACTTCGTTGTGATTTTTTTTAGTGGCATCACTGTTATTTATGAGTATTTGAATAAGGTTAGACAGAAAAGATAGGAATGTGGATAGAGCAAAAGGGCACCTTCTCTTGGCTGTGTGCCACTGGCCAAGTGCAGGGATTCAAACTGATTATGAGAAGTTATGTACACTGACATGCAGAAGAGTGTAATTAATGATGCCTTGAGCTTGGTAAATTCCAGCCTCTCCACCTGCCTTTTGAAATGAAGGCAAAATCTGTTTATTTTTGGATTTAATTTGGGGGCATAGAATGTTTTATGTGTAAACTAGAAAAATCATAGATACTGAGTACTTGGAAAATACACTCTCTAAGATATCTTTGTGCTTTTGCACTAATCATTAAATGTTGCTAGACATAGAAAGCATTTTAAACTTATTTCTTAGCAGGTAAATAAAAGTAAATTTTTCAATAATGTAAAAATAAGGGAGAAACCAAAATGGCAGCATAGGTAAATACCTATAATGTTGCCTCACACAATAATTTCAAAACTGCAACTTGAAGACAGAGCAGACATGGTCCAGAACCACTGGAAACCTGCCTGAATGGAAATTCTACAACTATAAAAAAAGGTAAAAGGACACTGAGACCCAGAGGAGCTGTGGAGGACAGGTGCGAAGATCCACATGTGTGAAAAGGGTGGGTGGCTAAATAGGTGACTGGCTTACTCATGGTGCTCTGAAAGGGCTGCAGCATGTGTGCGGCTAGCTTTTTTGTTCAGGAGGGAAACAAAACCTCCCGACTGCACTGAAATCCAGTTCCAGGTGAGACTTTGGGTACCCAGACTCATTCGGGGAGAAACTGGACTGTCTGGCAGCAGGCGAAACTCAGGGCAGCCTTCTCCTCAGAGGTTCATGCATCTATTGCTGCAGGACACTGAGACATGGGCCTCATAGGGCGTGAGTGATGGAAAATCAGGGCTGTCTTCTCAGCCCTGAGACTCTGCCCCATCCAAGCTGAGCACAAAAGCTCTCCCACTGGAGACACAGCTGATCCGCACAGCCAATTGGCCTGGAGGTCAACTTCCTCCAGTGATACTAACAACAAGCTAGGCTTAACTATAACAAGACTGCACACATAGCCCACAAAGAGGCACACCAAGAGTGTCCACCTCAGGTAACTGGGGAGGCTGAACACTGGGCCCTGCTAAGACACCTAGCACAAAAAGCTACTACATCAACTCAGGGAGGCAGCCAAAATGTGGAGACAAAGAGGTAGGCCACAAATGAAGGAAATGGAGGAAAGTAAATGAATGGATATAGAGTTCAAAACTACGGTTATAAGGTTTTTCAAGAATTTTTTAGAAAGGCCAATAAATTTAACAAGACCCTCGAAGATATGAAAAAAATATTAACTAGAAATTAAGCATACACTGACTGAAATAAAAATATTATATAGAGACCTAAAAGCAGACAAGAGGATTTCAAGAACCAAGTCAAAGATATGAAATACAAAGAAGCAAAACACCCAACTGGAAAAAGTTAAAAAGCCTCTGGAACAACTTCAAGCATACCAAGATCAGAATTATGGGGGTTCCAAAAGAAGAGAGAGAGAAAAATACTGAAAACCGATTTGAAGAAATAGTGACTGAAAACTTCCCCTACCTGGTGAAAGAAATAGATTTACAAGTCCAGGAAGTGCACAGAAGCCCAAACAAGAGGAATCCAAAGAGGACCACACCTACACACATCATAATTAAAATGCCAAGAGCAAAAGACATAGAGAGCATATTAAAAGCAGCAAGAGAAAAACAGTTAGTTACCTACAAGGGAACCTCCATATGATTGTCAGCAGATTTCTCAATTATGCAGGTCAGATGGGAGTGGCAAGAAATATTCAAAGTGATGAATAGCAAGAACCAACAACCAAGATTAATCTACCCAGCAAAGCTATCTTTCATAATTGAAGGTCAGATAAAGAGCTTCACAGATAAGAAAAAGCTAAAGGAGTTCATTACCACCAAATCTGTATTATATGAATTGCTAAAAGGTATTCTTTAAGAGAGGAAGAAGAAGAAAAAGATAAAGATAAAAATTATGAACAAATATGTATTTATCAACAAGTGAATCTAAAAACCAAGAGAATAAACAATCTGATGAACAGAATAAACTGGTGAATATAATAGAATCAGGGGCATAGAAAGAGAGTGGACTGACAATTCTTAGGGGAAAAGGGGAGTTAAGGGTGTGGGAAGAGACTGAACAAAAATCATACACCTATGGATGTGGATAGAAATGGGGAGGAAAGAGTAGAGGTGGGGTAGGAACCTGGTGGAGGGGAGCTATGGGGGAAAAAAAGAGGAACAACTGTAATAATCTGGACAATAAAGATTTATTATATTTAAAAAATAATAATGTAACAATAAATATGATTTTATAGGTATTTAGTCACATCTGAGTCTATAAGTCAAATGTGGTCTATTTTTATGATGCATTTAACCTCCATATGTTTTCCTACCTAAAAAGTTTTCCATGTATTTTATTTAAGTAATATGCTTTTAATATTAGTGGCAAATATTTATTAAAGGCACATTTTGCTACAGGCACTGAGATAAGTACTTAACATTCTATATATTTGCTCATTTATTTCTGACACATATAAGGTAAGTGCTGTTACTATAAGCACGAGTCTCTGACTCTGAAGCCCCAGTTTTTATTTTTATTATTTATTTATTTGTTTGTTTGTTTTACAGAGTGTATTTTTATTTATTTTAAAAATTATTTTATTTATTTTTAAAAAACATTAATTGTTGAAAGTCCTCCTTTCAACAATAAAGGAAAAAAGTCCTCCTTTCCCCCATCAACTTCTTCCAGCCTGCTCCTGCTTCTGTCCTCAGGCACTCATGGAGCCATTTTTAATCATTACACTACGCTGCCTCTAGAGAAGAACAAAAAGTACAATAAGTTGCAAATTTCCAAATGATTATCTCTAATCCATTCTTAGATAATGGTTCCAGATAAGAATGTGAGATTCTGGAAAATTATTCTACCCTACAGAATTATCTATAGGGGTTTTAAGAATCACAATTTAAAAGGAGATAGATCTTATTAGTAAAAATGTTTATGACCTATCTCTTTTAAAACAACCTACACATACTTTATAGAAATAAAGGTTTTAAATGAAATCAAAGCTAGTGTTTACATACTATACACTGTGTCATCCACTCAAAAAAGAGATGTTTTCTTTCCGTTGGAATATGATTATGTGCAGCAGTGTGAACAGTACAATTTGGAATTTTGTTCTAGTAAGCTACCTCTTGCTTATGTGCAGCTACTTTAACTCACTAATGCCTGCCAGAAGCTGTTTTGTTCACAACTGTGTGGCTTTCTTCCTTGATTCTTAGTGATAGCTGTCTCTACAAGGAAGAAGATGGTTCTTGTTTATTTCAGTAATTGTGCAAAGATGAGGCTGTGGCACATGAGCTCTTATGTCTGGGAGAAGACAAAACTGTGGCCGTATTTGAAAACCTTTAAAAGGGAAAGAGAAGAATAGTCACAAACCTTCGCTTCCAAAGCCCGTTTCTCAGGCTTTTGTATAATTAGAAAGAAGAAAGATCTAAGAATCTAAATCCCAGCTGAATGCCATGTACTATTTTATTTTTCAGCAGGACTTCCACAAATTATCTTCATTTGTATCTGTAGTAAAAGAACATATACCTACAAAGCAAGTAATATGATTATTTTTTGTTAGCTCCTATCTTTATGTCTAGAGATATAATTTTTATGATTTTGATGGGAAGCATCTTGGGATGATATTTTCCAAAAGGTTAGCTCTTAAATAATAAGAGATGATACTCTTCTGTGATTAGGAGATGAATTGGCAGAAGGTATTGGGAGAGGTAGTAATCATTCGGGCTTTACAAACACTCCAGTTTTCTGCCATTCAAACCCATGACAGAATTACACTTTGCTGTCCATCTGCTCATGTGATTTGCTTTCACCAGTTTAAATGTGAGTGAAAGTGGCATGTGTCACATCTAAGTAGAAGCCTTTAATAGTCATTGAGAACATTTTTTTTTCTCCAATAGCAATTTTAGAAGCTTGTGTCTAGCTAGAGACCTTGTCATGCATTTTCTGTGAATGGCTAGAATAAGCCAAGTATCTTTAACAACAGAGTAGACATGTAGTTGAGCAAGAAATGATCCTTTACAAATGTTAAGCCACTGAGGCTTGGGGATTTTTGATACTGCAACATAAACTAGCCCATTTTAATGCATGCAGAAATTGATCTCTGGAAGCAGAGGACTGCCACAACAGAAAACTGGGGGAAAAAAATTTAAAGGGCTAGGTAGCAAATGGCAAGGACAATGGAGGCTGGCAAGATGGTAATCCAGGTGTCTTGGTCGTGAAGTATTTGGGAAAATAATGTCATGAAATGCTCTAGGAGAGATTGGAAAACAAAGTGCTAACAGTGTGTTGTTGTGTGCAACTGTATACAGTTGCCCATATATATATTCTATTCTGATGCATAC